TTCTAGCCGAAGCATCAGGGGAGAGACCAGCCGGCCCCCAGACCATATCGGCTAATCCCTTGCATCTCTGCCACGCACGGAATCGGTTGAAATCATAATGTTAAAAAGTCTAGTCTATTCGTTGCATTGTTTGCACGGCTATTGTTATGCTGATTCACCTGGAACCGTGGTCGAGTGGTTAAATCGTTGTCGTTCAAGATACTGAGTCAAGCTCGCCCGAGGAGGGTTAGCACTTGGATGGGTGACCTAAACATTACACCTACTCACGTTTTTGCTCCTTTTTTCCGGTTTTCTTTTTTCATATTTAAAACAAAAGAGGCAGCAAGTCAAGAATTTCAAGACACTAAATGGCCGGCAGTTCCATAAATTTCTAAAAATCCAGCTCAATCCACAAGATAACACAAACCAAACTTAAAACTCGAACAATTTATATCGCCAAATTTAATATTTAAACATGGCATTTGTTCACTCCCGAGAAGATTTGAAGCCTTATTTTCATAGTAGTTTAAGTTAGAGCTATTAATCTTAAACTCTTTCCTGTATAGAATACTGCTTTGAGAAGCAATATTAAAAATATGAGTAGACAAACAAAAGAAAGATCTCTTCACGGCATCTTGAACTTTCTAGCTTATTTTATACACCCGAGTATTGATGCCTAATCCTGCACTGAACCCTCTTGAAGTTTAGCAACTAACGAAAAAAGAATGTGCGTAGACATATTTTTCCGACACGTGATTCGCAGCCCCACCCACAATCAATCACCTTGATTGGCAACTGTCACTTGAATATAAATCAGACTTTACACAGGATCTCTGTATCATATGTCCGCAAAGGACTCTTGGGTATTGTCGTGAATACCCCTGGATACTATTGCACAATGTTGGCGCGCGTTTTCTGACGCAGGAAAATATAGACACGCAACGCTTTATTAGACTGGGCTGCCACAGGCATCCCAGTAAATAGACGCTATAAAGGAGTAAGTCGAACTGATTATCAATACATATCCTACTGGAATGCACAGCTCAAAAATGGCTATTTCTCACGCGCTCCCAGTGTGAAATATTCTTGCAATATTGTCAAAAGAGGTTTGGTTGTCAAGTTTTAGCTAGAAAATTCGACTCTCAACGCTTTTGTTGACAATTCTTTCATGTTTCCTTTCGAGAGTTTAACCAGCTGCAAAGTGATAAAAATAACATTTAGTTTCTTTAGTTTTTCAGAGCCTGTCATAACCGTTGTCATAGTGTTGCTGTCAGATTCAAATTAAACCCATACAGACAGCCCCACGGTCTAGCACCACTGAAGGCAGTTACATTATCTTGCTCAAATATTTCGAATAATGAAACTCTTATGAAAACTCTTGAAACAGTCTACTTTGAGTTCTCTAGCCTGAGGTGAATAAGAATTATACAAAAGAATATTCGATTTATTCAAATTTGCATCAACCTTACCAAGTTGCATTGAACGTTGATTTATTTAATGAAAACAGCGCCTTGACCGTCGAATAACAACATCTAAATGGCTGATGTTTTTGCGCTTTTACCAGGGGTCCAGTGCCTACGAGGAATACAGCAACCATTCTGGTGAGTTTTATTGCAATAAAGAAAAGAATGATTTAAAAATTAGGAAGTAGATTTATAAACATGTTTGTGCGCTGAACTTTGTGGTGTTACAGGATAGCACCTGTTCCTGCCGGTCCGATTGCTTCGAGGCGAAGTGGGAATCATACTCGATAGAGTGGCTTCAAAATGCTAAAAATCCCTAGTCATTGGAGCTAAAATAAAAGCGATCAATTATATAATGAGAAAATAAAAATATATTTTTCAACTTAATTACAGATTGAAGCTTGGTTGAATTTTAAATAAAATTGGAATGCATTATCACTAGAAAAGTTTTTTCATTAATCGAGTACCATCTGCTCAATTTAAAGCGCATGCCGCCTCAGCGCCCTTACCGAAAATGTGCAATTTTCCCATAATGCATGCAAGGTACGTACCACGTACTTTTAACCCAAGCTAGGGCTGCGTTCATAATGCATGGGAGAAATGGGGGGGAGGGGGGGGGGGGG